TGAGGGAAAAGGCAGAGAGAAGGTAGAGGGAGGCAAGACCCACATTCTGGATGGTTTGGAGTGTTTAGCCAAAAACCAAAGTCAGTTTATGGGTCATCTATGTACCTCTCTCCATCCTATTGAGATATGTCAAGCCCAGGCTCAGAAGTACTCACTAACACCTCCATTCATCACAGGGTCCCAGACTGTTGGCTTGGCACCTGTAAGGAAAAAACTTGCTCCATCCAATCTGTCGTGATTGCGGCATCAATATTGAGTCACACATTTCCCCCCAAAAGGGTGGCTGGTGACAAACCTTATCTTTATGGTTCACCCACCTGGGCAGGTTGCTGGCTTCCCAACCTGTCCCCCGTTTCTCTCACTGTACTAGGAGCAGGTGACATCAGTAATTCAGGGATTTTTATTGTCAACATTTGCTGGTTTTTATGTACCAGGCTGAGGTGGGATCTGACTCCTTTGAACCATTAAGATCATGTGTTTCTATATAACGCCAGCACCCAAAGGGAGTGAAAGCCTGTAAAGGGATACCAGGCAACCCATCTGCTGCCATCGTTTGCCAAGAGAGTCAGATCAGTCTTTCTCTGAATGCTTTTGAGGTCCATTCCCTAAAAATGACATCCACAGACAGTAAACTCTATGGGGATGCTACTGGAAATGATCACAGATGACTGAGAATGCTGAAACTAAATTATAATACTCAGCTGCCATAATCTACAAACAGTGCTGAATGCTAGAAAGAGGCAGCAGCCACCCTCCAAAACTGTTTTCAAGTACGTATGATCAAGAGAGTCACTTGTCACAGCCAAAGCAGGTGCACACTTCTGCTCAACCCCTAGGAAGTCATAGTAAGGGTTATCACCATGTAGATCTTTATACAAAGATCATAAAATGTAAGATGAAAAATGACTATTAAGTTGTCTAGTCTAGCCACCCATCCATCCCTTTTAAGTGCCAAGTGAATGATTTGCACAGGGAAGACCAAAGGTTTAAAGTGGGGAGGGTTTAACTAAAAACAGCAATAGAGGCATGAAAAAAGCACGCTGCCAACATACAATTCTTGCTTAGCTGCTGCAGTAAAGGGAAACAAGGCTACAAATTACTTTCAGAGCTGTATATTTCCTTTTGGTTTAAAAACTACAGCCCAGATTTCAGAACATTAAAAAAATGTCCTGCCTGCAGATAGGTTTTTATGATTTTTAAACACTGATGGAAAATACAAGTGAAGATAGGCAGTCGGTGTGACAGTGCCCTTGGGGATGAGCAGCTCCACACACAGGTGTTTCAGGAAGCCTTTGTAAGCCCATGTTGCTACCCCTGGGTTAATTGATTCCACGGAGGGCACTCGCCGACACAGCTTTTCATCCTACTGCAGGATTTCCCAGGAGGTTTTGGAACACGGCGAGACAAGGAAAAGCACGCGCTGTTCCCGAAGGAGGGCCACTGCATGCCAGGAGCAGTGCTGCCCACTGCACTTCAGCCTGTGGTGGTGGGATGGGAAAGGGGCAGAGGAGGAGAGCAGCAGCTCAGCAAATCTCTGCTTGGCTGGTTTGTGTCCACAGACACCTGCTTATCCTGCGTAGGATGTGTGGTCGTACCCTCCGAGTTTATTCTGCGTGCGGGTCCCTCTGCTCAGTGCTCAGGGTCGCGGGCCATGCTGATGCTCTCCAGGTCTGGGAACAAACTCCCTGGGCGAGCATGCCTGCGGGGAAAAGCTCACATCCCCTGGCATAAAGACGCATCCCAAAGGAGGCAGCACCCCACAGGTACCCCTGCCTGCAGAGCCTCCCTGCTTTCTTGCGGGGCACGTGGTGAATCCCCAAAGCCCCTGATTTCATGCACCAGGGAGGTTTAACTTCAAGTCATTTTCAAGCTGTTGCTTTTCCTGCAGAAATTTTATTTTGACACACATCCTTGTGTTCGGCATCTTTCCTTAGTAACGGCTCCTGTGGTCCATACACCCAGGGCTCTGACAGGAAGGTTTAGCTCGATGCTCAGTTCGAGTGGTGTGCTCCAGATCTCGTCTCTTCAGAAGGGACCTGGCAAACAAAACTTCCTCTGTGAAATAAAGGATTCAGGCTCCTGCCATGCGAGAGAGAACTCCTGAAAGACTCTTTCATATGGAGCCAAAGAGACTAGAGAGTGTCAGAGTTTTAAAGACAAAATACTGCTGTCAGAAAGGTATACAGACTTCATACAGGAGGGACCCTTCACACATTGGCAGCCTTTGAATTCAGCTTTTAAATAAAAGATTTGTCTTCAGACAGAAAAAGTGATGCCTTTTATGAATAATAAGGCATAAAGCAATTTTTTTTTTTTGGATGAAACTGCCATTCAGTGTAAAATAAGCTGGCTCTTGATTTATTGAAAAGCCAAACTCATATTTCACCTTGGGGAAGTAACACATCATCCAGATCACCAGTTTGCAGATGCCTGAGAGACGTGGGTGTTGGTGCTGCCAAGGTTGGGATTAGCTTTTGTGTCACAGGCCAGTCTGAGGGAATATCGATCATGTCTTGGACTACAGCTCTCATCAGAGATGATGGGACAGAAGCTGATGGCGAGTATCATTGCTGGGAATTGGGGGTTGTTAAGAAGTTTTGCTTTGTAGGTATGTATTAAGCATTTGACTTTTAACAAAGGTTTTTCATTGCTGGTATGTGTAAATGTAATTAGGTATATAAAGTTATTTGAATGTTTTTTAATTTATTCTTGCACATGATGCACCAATGTTTGAATGTGAGGGGTGTCCAACAGGAAGCCTCATGTATTTTTGTGCAAACTGAGATGTGACCCGCTCCCCTTTGTGGTTCTCGGGGTCCCCCTTTCACACTCCTCGCTCGGCCGCCGGCAGGTCTGGCTCCCTCCAGGCGGTCAGCAGGCTGCCCCGCAGCAGCAGTCCCCGGGACCAGCTCAGCTTTGCCTTCTTGGATGATGTGGGGGATATTTTCTTGTCTGGGGCTACTTGGGCTTTCGGATACAGCTAGTAATTGCGGAAGGCGCTTCCTCTGCAGGAAGGTGCCAGCAGGGTAGAGCAGCTTCCAGGCTTCCAAGGAGTCTTCTATTCTCTTAAATACACAGGGACGATGTATTTGCACTGATACTCAATCCACTGCAAGCCCTTAAAGACCAGATTTCCCTGAAATATGAAGCACTCCCCACTCCTGTAGTCTTCTCTTAGTTTTTCTGGCAGTATTAGACCCAGGAGGTTTTGGTGTCAATGCTGCTTGTGATTAAAGTACACCATAGGGACTTTTCAGAGAGCCAGGCAAAGCCATCCATGCTGCAAGCACTGCTGATACTGAAACCCATGCGGGTCATTCTCAAGAAAAACAGATGCAACAGCCTGACAGGACACAATGGCTTCAGAAATCCCCAAGGCAGGAGCTGATGATTCAGGCACCCCTGCCCAAGCTCACCGAGTGAGCAGGCAACAGATCCCAGCACACACAGGATCTGCAAAGGTAAAACTGTCAGCTCAGATAAGTGCTTGCAGCAGTGCCCTGTGTGCTGCAGCGCATGTGCCCTGTCTCCTTGTCCTGGTTTTGGCTGGGCTAGAGTTAATTTCCTTTCTAGTAGCTGGTATAGTGTTATGTCTTGGATTCAGTATGAGAGGAATGTTGATAACACACTGATGTTTTCAGTTGTTGCTCAGCAGTGTTTAGACTAAGTCAAGGATTTTTCAGCTTCTCACGCCCAGCCAGCAAGAAGTCCTATTAAACTGTTCTCATCTGAACCTACAAGTTTTACTTTTTTCTTTTTTCTCCCTGATTCTGTCCCCCATCCCCCTGAGGGGGGGGGGGGAGTGAGTGAGCAGCTGCGTGGTACTTAGTTGCTGGCTGGGGTTAAACCATGATAGTCCTTCTCTGTAAAATAGTTATGGGATGCAGCATCCTTTTTGCTGTCCTCCATCGACCAAAATCCTCATGTCACCCACTCTTGCCAAGGCAACACCTTGTTCTGATGCATGGGCAGATGAAAGTTGTGGAGTAACATCTGTAAGGGTGGGAAGCAAAGACCTGAGTCTGCTTTTCTTAGCGCCTTGTTTGCTTAATATGGTGTGAGAGCAGGGACATAAATATTTTTGAAGATCCATGTTCTCAAAGTGTTCCCAAAAGTACCTTAACTGCAGCTGTCAGTAAGGGAGGTAAAGAGAAACTCCCATTTCTGGACATTTTTAACCATTTGCTGTTTCTTTCCCATTTTAAAAAAAAAAAAAAAAAGGCAGAGAGCCAACAGGCAGAGGGAGAAGTTCCTGATGGAGCAGCAGGTTTGAAGTCACATCTGAAACTTGTAGCCCCTGGAGAAAACCCCAGGAGAGGAGAGCCAGCAGGACGGGGAGGCAGGGTGCTCTGCCAAGGACAAGCTGTGCAGGAGTTGCTGTGAGCACCTCACCTTTCCCTGGCACTCACTGGGGGAGCTGCTGGTGCTCCCGGGGGTACCAGCACCCCGCAGACCATCCTGATGCGTATTCAGGCCAAGGCTCCTGGTCACCTTTGCCTAAACGCCATGGCAGGTGTCAGCAAAAAATGTGTGTAGGCATCACACATCCAACACCTTGTGCAAAGCACTTGCAAAAAGAGGAGAAACGTAAAGAGCATTGCAGGTCTCCTTAATTTACACCTTTTCTTTAAGGCTGTGGTAAACAGCAGCAAAAGCAGCGAGGGGGGGAAGGCTGCAGGGGCTGTGGTTTTGCAGCAGGTTGGCAGCAGCCCACTCGCTGCTGGGTGCACATTTCCCTTCTTCCAAGGCGGTGGTGGTCAGGACCTGGGAATGGGAATCCCCACAAGCTTCAAGAGGAGACCAAGCTTAAAAACTTGAGCGGAGACCTGGGCTTTGTCCATGGGGATGTCAGCCGGGGAGCGGAGAAAGGCAGCTTGCATTCCCTCTGCACTGGTGTGCCAGGGCAGGAGAGAGGGGGATAGCGTGGGCAGCCGAGCTGCAGCAACACTGTGCACGAAACCGCAGCCAAGTCACGCTCCTGGCGGCTCCGCTACCCGGCCATGGCACAAGCCCCCGGTCCTGGGCGGGAGTGGCAGCGGGGGATGCGGGTGTGCGCGGACCTGGGCTGCGCTTCCCACGGCGACTGTGGAGCTGTGACGGGTCAGCGGACCCGTGATGTCATAAGGTGCCCGCTGGAAGGCTGCAACAACGCCTGCGGCTCTGCTGACACACGTACTCGCCTCCAGACGAAACTCAAGGCAATTTTTCCCCCGCCGCAAGTGCAGGCTATCGCGGCCGCGGCTGCACTCGCGCCCCGACGCGCTTTGCAGCGTGATGATGTCGTTGCACGATCGCCTTTTGGAAGAGGTCGAGCAGGACTTGAGGCAGGTGAAGAGCGAGATGCGGAGGCAGATGAGGCTGCTGGACCTGCAGCTGCGGCAGCTCTGCCAGGAGCCGCCTGCGTCCTGCCTGCGCGGCCCGTCCCTGCGCCCCTGCTGCTGCCTGTGCCAGCCCGGCCCCCGGCCCGGGGAGGGAACGGCCCTCACCGCGAGGCTGGACGTGGAGCGAGAACTGGACAGGTGACAGATACTCGCCCGCTTCCCACAGGCATCGCCACCCTTGAAGGCAGGAGGAAGGGGGGTTTGGCGTCGCTATCAGGAGCGAAGGTGGAAACAGATAGGCAGGACAGAAGAGAAATAGCCGTTTTCAGATAAATTAGTTGAAAGGGGAATGGGAAGGCACGGCTTGTGCGGCCACGCAGCCCGAGAGGAGCCGTGCAGGCAGCGCCTGCACTGGAAAGGGTTTGGACCATGGCGTTGTGACATTAACCATCTTGCAAACTGCATCTAAAAGTACACAACTAGATCCAAAGCTGCTCAGCTGCAGAACAAAGTCCATCTTCAATGTAAATTCAGTTTAAGCCTGGTAAACACGTAATTATCTTCATCAGTAGCCAAAACGTGCCTGTACGTGGTGGGGTGTAGCACTGAAACATCAGAGACATGTATCCATATTTTCCCACCATGTACAGTAGGAGGAATAAGTGTCAGGATTTCTACATCTCCATTTTGACCACTGGTGTAATGATTTGATTTTGTTAATGGAGTTCAAGATTGACTCTAGAAGGACAAAACCCAAAGGCAGCCCTACAGGAAGGGAGTAGTTGAATGATAAAACCTGACTATTTGCATTAAGGCACAACCAAACATTGAGAGACCCCGAGGGCTAAGAAGTCCCTTGGTCATCAGCAGCGGTGGGAATCTCTTGCTGCATTTGTGGCATTGGTATTTTCTCCCCAAACTCAAGCTTCTGTTTGAGTTCCCTCATGTTGCGCCTGGTAATGATGAGACCTTCACCTTGGCAATTAAAAACATGACATTTTCATTATCCGTAGAGCAGCAAGTATCATCCCACAGCCTGCCATGTGAGTTATCTACTGGGTACAATAAAGTTAGAAGAAAAAGGAAAAAAGCCTGACCCCTGGGTTAGTTTCACACCGACTTCAGCAAAACCAAAAGTTGCTGTGAGGTTACTTTAAACTTACCCAGTAGCTGCAGCTCACGCAGGGCTGTCGAGCAGCAGATTTCAGATCCCAGGTGTTACAGGACTGGTGTCTGTGTCCAGACTTTCATCAGTGCATTGGGTATCAGAGCTAGGCAGACTCAGCATCCCCTTGCAGAATCATTGGACACCAAAATCCCAGTGAAGGAATGGAAATTCACTCTGACTGGAAGCTACAGAACCAGCTCACACAGAAAGCACACCCCAAAATCACCACACCAGGTTGAATCATTGCAGGCTTTAAGTAGGATTACTGAAATGGGTGGACCTTGCTAACGAGCCATTGTTTGCCTTATTTCCTCTTCCATCACACCCATTATCTTTTTAATTTGGTGCCTTGTGTCCAATTTAGCTATTATAACTTAGATGACCCTTCCATTGTCTGCTTTACAAATGGTTTGAATAAGACCCAGCCGTCTGGTTGAGCAGAGTTGCTGTTTGACATTATTAGAAATCATTTTAATGGCTCAGTGAGCCTCCCGTCCAGCTCTGCAGGAGCATTTGGGGTTTTTTTGCCAGATGTGTCTCCCATCCACTGATTGCTTTAAACAAAACTCCTAACTGGGAAATGTGATCTATTGTAACTATTCATTTAAAATGTAGGACAAGGCATAAGATGAACACACATGGCTTTGTGGGCATATGTACATGTGAGAGAAGAGCGCTGGCTTCTCTGTATTTAGGTGAAAGGACTTTTCAGCTCCACAATTGCCCAATCCCAAGAGGGGACACTGAAATACTCCTGACTGCTGTGGCGTGCAGGTGGGAGCTCCTGATGGTGCAGACACCAGCCCAAGTGCTGTGTGTCAGCATGAGGATGGATCCAATAGTTTCCTATTTACTTCTCCTGTCCTTAAGGTGGTCCACCCATTCCTCTGTGAGCTGGACTGAAAGGCTGTCCTCTTGTTCTTATTCCAGCATGCAAAGAAGACTTAACAGGATGTTGAACTCCTCCCATGATCACAAGGTTTTGTCTTTGATAGATGTGAAGGGTTTTGACCCCAAGGAAGTTACGGTAACAGTGAAAGACAGGAAGGTGAAGGTGTTAGCAGAGCATGAAGAGGAGCACACCACCGCAACAGGGACAGAGTATAACTACAGAAACATCACGAAGGAAATCAGCCTGCCGCTGGGGGTGAGCGAGGACGAGGTGACCTACTCGCTGGGACCCAATAGCGTCGTGAAGATCGAAATGGCACGCAGGAGCCACCCTTGTGTCCCGAGCCGCTAAGCCGCAGCAGGGAGCTGCACCCTGGCGCAGTCGTTCCTCTGCCGCAGCCCTCCTCCCCATCGGCTTTAGGTCTGTCCCACTAACTGGGAGCAAGCAGGTCCTCGGGCCTCCTCCGAAATAAAAGACAGCACTGCAAGCAGATGTGTGCGAGCCTCATTTTGAAGGATTTTGGTGGGCAAAAAAGGGGGTGCCAGCAGGAAAATGCAAAGATGGTTTGGGGCATACTTGGCTGTGGTCACTTGCTGGGTACCAAAAGCACTGCTGGAGGTAGTGTGGTTCGGGGCTGGTATTGCTATTGCGAACAATCTCATGGATTTTAAAGGCTGAAAGGCACCATTTATGATCAGTCACATTTCTGTAAGGACACTTCTCTCAATCCCACCACTTCCATTTGAGCTGTAGGATATTTCTAGGAAGAAAACCTTGATAATAAACACCTCAAAGGGAGGAGCCTTCTCCCGAAAATACAAGCTGTGCCGTTTGTCCCCTTGGTTTGGTTCTTGCAGAGGCTGCCTGGCCAGGAAGAGCCATGGTTGAAGGACAGAGAGCTTATCATTACAAGACGTTGGGACTAGGGCAGAGTGCTTACCAGCTGAGGAGGGGATGACTAAAGCATTTCCTGCTGTAGGAATCAGTAGCTCCAAATTAATAAGAAAACATTTCTCATGTTGGAAGAGGGGAAGAATTGTCAATGTATTTTCTTCAAGGTAATATTAACGAAAAATTTGAGGTCCAAAGTGGGACCTCACATAGCCACAGCCTTCGCTGTCCCTGAGCACAGGGACCAGCAGGATCAGCGGGATGGGGGTGACACCAAGACAGCCTTGCAAAGGGGATTGCATTTGCTGCCCTGGCCTCGGCACTCAGGCACACACTGCTGCGGGAAGCAGCATTAGCTTTCACTGCAGAAAGGCACGTAACAAGACAATATACCTGATGCCTGGATTTGCGAGTCGGCTGGGCAAGCTGTCTCTCCAGCGAGCACCACCTGGTTCAGGCTTCATGAGCCCCCGGGGCCGGGGGGAGGAATGTTGCCACCGCTTTTTGTGGTGCACTCTCCCAAGGCAGATTTTCCTGGGGGGGAACTTAACGCTTTAGGTTGTGCTGGTGCAGAAACAAACCTCTGACATTAACTAACCCGTCAGGGGAGAGGGTGGGCAGCCTGCGGGCCGGCACCATGCAGGTGTGCTACCCGCCTGAAACCCCTCAGAGTGGGGTGTTGTCCCCTGCCATCAGCCTGGCTGAGAAATCATACAATCATAGAATTGTAGAAAGGTTTGGGTTGGAAGGGACCTTAAAGATTCTCTAGTTCTAACCCCCCCTGCCATGGGCAGGGACACCTTCCACCAGACCAGGTTGCTCAGAGCCCCATCCAACCTGGCCTTGGACACTTCCAGGGATGGGGCATCCACAACTTCTCTGGGCAATCTGTTCCAGTGCCTCACCACCCTCCCAGCAAAGAACTTGTTTCTTACGTCTAATCTCAATCTACCCTCTTTCAGCTTAAACCCCCTTGTCTTGTCACTACAAGCGTTGGTAAAAAAGTGTGTCTCCATCTTATAAGCCATCTTTATAAATCGAAAGGCCACCTACGCACAGGTAGCCTGATTCTGCTGACGTTGTTAAGGACATTAATAAGCCATACCTCAACCAGGAGGCTGCAAGGGAGCCTCCTGTGAGAGCAGGTGGCAGGGATGGGGACTGAGGATGCTGCAAACCCCCAGAGAAGACCATCTTCTTACAAAGCAACCCACCGAGTAATAAAACTGAAACCCTTTTGGGATACAATCTTCTCACTTTGTAGCTATTTCTACCAAAGCTGTCTAAGCATGCAGAGGAGAAATGTATTTCAACACCTCCCGTCTACCCGTGACTTCAGACTTGCAGAATATATCGAGTCCTGCAGCGATCATAGGGCTGGCTATGACTGCTCTTATCCTTATTGCTCATCCTTTAACACATGCTCTTCACACTTTGTTCCTAAATTAGGCTCCTAACACCAAATTACACTTCTGAGCAGCAAGACTTTATTGACAGATATGACTTCATTCCCAGATTTCAAGACTAGAAGCCACTGTCAGATCATCGGGCCTAGTCTCCTATTATATTATACCACAAATAAACTTCCTGAAGCCTAACTTCCAGGAAGGTATCTAGTCTTTTTTGAAGACGTTAGGAGGCAAACTCCAGCACCTCTCTTTGTACTTTGTTCCAGTTGGTAATTTCCTTGCAATTAAATGTCGTGCCTTGTTACTAACACGAGATTGTCTGGCATTGTCAGTTCTTTTTTTTCTTTTCTCTGCCAGATGACAAAAGCCCTCAGAAGCTGACTCTGTAGTAACTCAGTAGCAGCTATGAACTTCTCCTACACTGTAAGCAAGTCACTTTTCAATCTTGAAATTCTGGTGTTTCTCATTGTAAGACCTGGTGTCCAACTCTTAATATTTTTAGCTCCTTCTTGCCCCCTTTTCCAAGTTTTCAGTGCCCTCGGCAAGGTGGTCGCCAGGACTGGCTGCAGTAATTCCCTCTCCCCCCCCAATACAGTGTACAGAGGTAGAAACACAGTGTTGGCTCTTTTATCGTCTTCCCAAGATGGAGAGGTCTCTATATCTTTCTGACACTCCATCGCATGAGGTTCTCCTGCCGGATGGCTGTTTCGCTCTCAGCCCTGCAGCTCGCTGAAGGGTCCCCCCTTGGCAGGGTGGCTGGGCTGCTCCTCCTCACGCTGTGGACACGGAGAAGGTTGGCGTGGCAGCCCAGGGGATGTGAAGAAACATTCGGGGGGGAAGCACGCTTCAGTTAGTTAGTTATTAAAGGAAGATTTAGGAGAAAATTGCTTGGTTTATATTTTTTCTTACAGAAATGAGCCACAAATAGCCATTTTTTTCCTACCAATTAGGAGTCCTAGCATTTAAAGTCAAAGAGCCCTTGCAGGCTGGGAGGCACATCTTCCTAATTCCTAGTTCATTTTATATCTCGTGAAATGCTAGTCTGGGCTGGTAGGAGCATCTTTAAGACTCCTTTCATAAGGTCCATAAGAAGCAAATGTGTCACTTGGTTTTGTGAATACCTACATGCTGTAAAGACCTTGGGACATAGCCCAAAGTGTTCTCGAAATCCATTCCCTCCAAATACTGCTTAGCTGAGAGTTTGTTACATGAAAATACCTTTGGAAAACTACCATTAACACAGCAAGATGTGCTCATATCAGCATCTCCCTAAAAGAAATTCCTTTGCCACTAGGTGGCAGATTTTTTTTTTTTTAATTTACCACTGTGTAACTTTTTTAAAAGCAAACCCGATGAAGGTGGTGTTACAAAGCAATAAGGTTGGCACCCACTGCAGCTGGCATTTTTATTTGCAACGCTAATAGCAAATGAAGAGGAGGGCAAGAGTTAGAGCTGCGGTTTGTGATCCTGGGCGTGCAGGAGCCCTGGTGACAGACCACCATCCCGTTAGGTTTCTACACTGGATAATATTGATCTTCGATCCTGCAGCTCTTCCCCCCGGAGTACAGCTCCAGATAAGGCAAGTTTCATTTGCTTCAGCAGCCTGGCTCTACCACAGCTATTAGCCCAAATAGGGACTTCCAGGAGTTAATGTATTCTTCAGCATATTATTGCACAAAATTATTTTAGGGGCCAATTTTGACTATCCTCATATAGCAAATACCCTCTCTGAATTCCCTGGCATGAGGAAGATGCCCGAGAGGGTGACTTGGCTCTGTAGTTATAAACCTTAGTGCATTCTTGAACTCTAGCCTTATCGGGGCATTTATAAATAGGCAGAGCCCTAGGAATTTGTAAAGGGAGGTCATCCGAGGATGCTAGCTCCAGACCTCTCTTTGGTCACAGATTTCTAGGGATTTTCCTACGGCCCAGCAGTGCTCTGTGGGCTTAGGTTGTGTAGAAATGGTGTTTCTCTCCTAACTATTGCAAAACCAGGGAGACCGGTACACCTCAGTGGGGAGGCGCAAAACGATCCCAGCTTTCCTCTCCCGGTGTGCCGGCGCGCTGCTGCTCCCGAGAGCCGGGCACGGCCGCGGGCAGGCGGCTGCCGCTCTCTCCGTGGGCAGTGCCAGCGCGGGAGGGCTGTTCCTGCAAAGGAGCAAAGTCGTTGCCTGTGGCAGGGGCCAGCCCCGCTCCTCACGCCTCCGATCCTCGTCCTCCGAGCAGCGGCACGGCGAGGATGTTGGGGTCACACCCGCCGCGTGGGGCTGGTGCGACTGCCCTCCGCTGCGCCTCCGCACGAGGCGAGAAACTTCATCCATCCATTTTGTTGGTGCTTAAAGTTAAATTTAACCATTGTCCTCGCCAGGCCGTTTGGCACCTCAGTCTCTTAGATAAGCTTTCCAAGCCTGTGTTCTGTCATCTCCCCTGGAGAAAGCACTGAGTTTAGAAGACAGAGCAGGACCCACGGATTCAAGCCTGCCTCTGTACCAAAGACTCGGTGGATTTGTTGTCATTCTGGACCCTGCACTTGTCACCTCATTAATCATCCTGCCCTGAATTTAGGTTAGGAGTAAGCTGATCCTTCCAGCGCGCTCGCTGTGACCATCGAGAAGCTGCCACCTCCACGAGCATGGACCGCTGGCCCTTACTCCTCCTCTTTCCCCCGAGGGTCCTTTCCCTGGTCCCTTGAATAAAAAGTTATTTTTCCATCTCTGGCCATCTTCTAATTCCCCCTGCCATCCCATTTGTCCCTCTCCACTTCAACTGCTGTAGGTCGGGTCTTTCTTTTGGCAAGTAATGTATGGGGTTGTCTTCTTCTCTTGAAAGATGGAGCCCTTTGTAAGGGCTGAAATCCCAGTCTAGGTCAAAAAAGCTTGGCTGTCCATGAGGTTATCCTCTCGATTGCTCTCTTATATGTAGGTGATGTGAAATCATACCCATGTAATCATTCTCCTCGATCTCAACATTAATTACAAATAACAGAAGGTCTCTCAACTCTTTGGTCCTTTGTGCTGGTCCCTAACGTGGGGCTTTGCATGTAGTCTTTAA